GATCCACGACCCAGCCAGGTCCAATGCTTGGCCCATGGACCAGCCAAGCCTGGCCTAGCATGGGCCCATGTGGGCTCGGGCTATGGGCCATGCCAGGTTGACCCTCAAAATATCCCAGGGGAGGGAGGCACGGCCCAACCCACACTTTGCGTAAGCGACACGCAAGCTGTGCTGTACCGGCTCAACACAACCCGTTTTACACCTCTAGCTCAATGTGTCTTTTGAGTGTGAGAGCTACCATAAAATCTTCCCAAAAAGACTTGCCAATCGGCCCCAAAGTTTGGGCTCCACTGCTTGCGTACGCAGAGAACAGGGTAGTAATTTGGATTCCAATCACTTACCCACTATGTATAGTAATTTGGCTTCCAAATTCGAATCAGCTCACAATATGATCTCTAAAATTTTGCTAAAAATATTGAAAATTTAAAATGCTATTCTTTTGGAACTCCTTGAAAATTTTTGAAAACAATGAGGATATTATACACTTGAAAGTGAGATCAAATCAACCCCCACCAGATTGCCCCTCACAATGTCCTACAGCACATCCTCGCTGTGTATTGGAAATCTCCTGATGATAATACCAGAAATGGTGATGTCATCATGAGGAGATGTTTCTAATACATGGCGGATATGTACTGTGAGACGTTGTGGGGGCTGACGTCATCACCTGATAAGCTGATTTTTAGTCCAAATCCTCTATTCGGGGAAACCTTCTAAATGACGGATTTGATTTGTTTTAATATCCATCAATTTGGCTTCCATCGTAGGATGTGTTCTATTTAAGCCCTAATTTTAAACCTTAAACCTCTAAAACCCTAATCCTAAACCTTAAAATTAGTATATAAAATGCGGATGCATGTCCTCCAACATAGTAGGAGCCAAGTATTTTCCTTGTAAGTTATAAATATCCATCCAAGCTGCAATTACATATCCTGTGTCTGAGCCCAAGATGGTGCCTAACAGACCAATATCTACACTTCTACATCCAACCCACTCCACCAAAAAGAAGGGAGAGAGTGGGAGCTCAAATCGATGAGGAAATTACAAGAGAGTTCAACAATAAGTCTTGTCTGAATCCTTGCCTGTTCATGATTTCAATCATTTCATCACCCTCAATGTCTCCTTTTTTTTTCACTTGAATGCCCTTGTCCATTTTACAAAGTGAGACGCTTCCACTTTAAAAGAGAAAGAAAGAATTTTCTTGAATTAAATGTTTTTTTCCTTTTTCTGTGATGCCATTTCTTGTCATTGATATATACACTTTCGCTTGTATTAATTATGTAAGAATACAAAGTGGGTTTACCAGCCAGGTCATTTAACCAAAAAAGCCGAATGATAAGGAATGTCCCTGTGCCTGTGTTTGATTGCAATGCAAATAAATTTGTATTGATGCAAAACTATAACAGTGCAAATGATTTGAGTGTAAATTCTGATCTATTTTTGTTTTAAATTTTAACTTATTTTGTTTGATTGCAATATAAATGAAGTACATGAATCAGAATAAAATAAAATTCAAAAAAAAGTCAAATGAGAATTTGCATTTTTTCGTTTGTACTCTTATGCATTTGTACTAGTGCAAATAAAATTGCACTGCATTTATGCCACAAACTGGCTCAGTGTTTACTGTCTACAAGGCTCCTCTTACATGTTCCCTCCCAAACAGGCTCTAAATGATCTCTGCAATGGATAAGCCTCTTAAAGCCAATCTTGTATAGGCTTTCCTATCTTTCCCTTCATTTCCCTACCTTTTCCTTCAAACCAAACATAGCTTTAGAGTCCTCATTAGCTGAACTTGACACGATGGACTGTGTAACCAACAAAAACGCTCCACATCAGCCATAAAGTGTATTATATGCCCCACCACGACTCAATCTTTCAATTGCATCACTGACGTGGGACGTCTTTATTGATTACACAGCCCCTAACACAACTATCGAGTTTTAGCTGATCCAAACTCATTTTCTCTCCCCTTCTAAATAGAAATAAATAAAAGGGAAAATTCCCAATTAGTACCATGTACTTTGGGCCTAGTGCCACTTTAGTCCTCAAACTTTAAAATGCAACAATTCAGTGCCCGAACTTTTAAAACATGATAATCCAGTACTTGCTATTAACTAGCTGTTACCCAGCCATTAAGTGGTATCTGAAAAAGACACAAATGCCCTTCAAGTGTCATCTAATTTTTTTTATTAACCATCCAAACATTGATAAAAAATTAACAGTTTCAGATCCTTGCCTCTTCTATTCAAGAAGTTGGGGTCACCAAAATGCCCACTCAAACGTGACCCCAACTTTATTGAATGGAAAAGGCAAGGATTTGGGACTGTTAATTTTTTTGTCAATATTTAGATGGTTGATAAAGAAAATTAAGCAACATTTGAAGGGCATTTGTGTCCTTTTCAAATACCACTTAACAACTAGTTAACAACAGATACTGAATTGTCACGATTTAAAAGTTTGAGTACTGAATTATCGCATTTTAAAGTTTGGGGACCAAAGTGGCACTTGGCTCAAAGTACATGGTACTAATCGGGAACTTTCTCTAAATCAAATAATGTTTCTAATGTCCATCACTATTTTCAAAATCGGACTGGACTAGACGGTCGGACTGGAAAAAACCGGGAATTGGTCACTTGACCGGTTCCGTTTTCCTCCAAAACTGCTTTTTCCCTCAAAACCGTTGATTTTGGTCAGCAAACCGCTGAACCGGCGGATTAACCTTTCGAACGGTTTTGACCGTTTTCCAATTTTTATTTTTTTTAAAATTTTTTATTTTTTTGTCAGAACGGGCTAGCTTTTCAGGTCGAACGGTCGGACCGTTCGAATCGGTAACCGGACCCCTGACCGATTCCATCACCAATTCGTTTTTAAAAACCATGATGTCCATAGTTGTCATGCTCAATCTTTCCCGTCTTAGACTGAGAAGCTGTTAAGGGGGCCAATTTCCATTCAGTAGATACGAAGAAAGTATCACCATCTTCTCTGCTTTTTTTATAAGAAAATTAATCCTATTCTTCCACCCTTAGCAGCATTAATTGGGCACTAATGACTAGTTACTATGTATATGCTATTGTAGGCTAGATTTATATTAGAAGATTGGTATGAATTTCAGGACCCAATTGCGAGGGCTAGGAGGATGAACTACCAAGCTTTAGGTCTACCTCTTCTTCTCTATAAGATCATAGATATGAATGCCTAAACTTGTATCTTCATCATGTTTCTTAAATCAATTCTTAGCCCTACCCTTGTAAACCAATTGCGTGCATGGCCCCGTATTTTTCAAGTGGGATTTCTATACATGCATGTTCAATTCATGGGTAAACCCTAGATCTTCCTAGTATGCGACTGGATTCCCCTACTTTCACAGTGTGTAGATGTTTTTACTTGTAGCAAGGTTTTTAAAATTGATCTAAACAATAAATCGGTCAGGGGTCTGGTTCTCAGGTCAAATGGTTTGATCGTTCGAATCAAATGGACGGTCCATTCTGATAAAAAAATAAAAAATAAAAAAAAAGATCAAAACTGTTAAATGGTTCGAATGGTTCAATTGCCCAAATCAACGATTTGCTGACCAAATTAATATTTTTTTAACAAAAATCTGATTTTGGGGAAAACCAGAACCGATTCCCATTTTTTCCCGTCCGAGAGTCCGGTCCGGTCCTGTTTTAAAAACCATGACTTGTAGTAAATCACAATTTAGGAAGAACTTTGACTAATCCAAAAACTCTATGACTTGATATTACTGCCAATTGATTGATTGCCAGTTGTTTAGGTACCATGTCTTTTCAGTATCATAGTCAGACTTATACAGAGGACATATCCTATGATACCAGAAAAGTATGATACCCTGATAGGTAATATCTATGATACCGGAAAGTTATGATACCTAAAAATATTTGACCAATCAAAACCCGAATTTTTATGAGTACAAGCTGATTGATTACCACTTCTATGATTCATATGGTTGACTGCAAAGGTGAATTTGAATCTAACATCAGAAGCTTAGGTGAATTTGAATCATGGTCAGAATATGAAGGTGCCAATCGTCTAATAAGTTGATAAGGTCTCAAACTTAGGATCTACTCCCGCCAACACTAATCACTTAAGTTGTTGAGTAATGGATTTGGGGGACCGGTTACCTCCTTTATGTCATTGTAAGTCAGGATCAATTTGACTGAAGAGTGGGGGAGGGGGAAAATATACATGAACTCCCTGAATCATCCCCGGCTCCATCCCTGACAGGCTGACACAATGGAAGTAATTCATCTCCCGTCCCCTTAACCCTCCAACTCTGATGATATCAAATTTGATCTCAGGTCTCTGATACAACAAGTCATAAATTCTATGAAGAGAACCATCAGACCGACTCATTGGGCCGGGACGGTTTGTCGTGATAGCATGACATTGGGCTGCATTTTTTCAGAACGTGACGGTGAGCCCACCAATACCATGCTGGTAGTTGATAGCTATCTACATTCATAAAATATTGCACGGGGAGGGCTCAGGGCTCCCATCTCCACGCAAGAGCATCCCTAATTTTGAAACTTGAAACCCCCTAACTTTAGACCGAGTCTTTGCTTCTCGATTGAATAAAAAATCAAACAAAGAAAAGAAAGAAACTAAAAGAAGAGAACAAAGGAAAGGAGAATGGATAGAAAAGAAAAGCATTGAGAGCAGTGGAGGCTCCCTGCAGCTGCCTTTGGTGATTTTTCACTTTGGAGATTATACGCATGTTATTATTGTTTTTATGATTATTACGAGACGAGACTAGACTAGAAGAATCTCTCAACTCTCATGCAGAGTTTTACAAGTTTGAATGGACCGAAGACCGAACAACAGTACCACACACGCATGACACCCCACCAGAGCAACCAAACCAAAAGTGAAAAAAAAAGAAAAGAAATTCTTTAGATCATCATCACCTTTACTTAATTGGTGGGACTTAGCTTTAGATTGGACAAATGCACAAGACACCTAGAAAGCCAAACCAAGCCAAGCCAAAGCCAAAAAGATTGATTGATTGAAAGAGATTAATTACATTACATACCTTCTCCTATCATGTATGTCTGTCTACTAGAACATTTCTTGGGTTGTGTTCCATTGATCATTTTTCTATCTACTTGTTTTTTTTCTTTTGTTCTTTACATGCAAAAGATAATCCTCTATTCTTGAATCTCTTTCTCTCTTTCCCTCTTTATCTCTCAAAATTAAAGGGGCATGGAATGGAATGCTAAAGTGGGGGTGTCTGCAAAGTTTGTTTAATCTTTCTGAATTCTGAGGATGCTTGTACGTGTATTTTTGTGTGAGAGAAGCTTGGATTTGCTTTACTCCCGGCCCCACCACCTCCACACTACTAATTCTGTAAACTGGAGCGCTTTTGCAGATTTATAAGAATTCTCTAATTTTCTAAGGAGTGTTTACAATCGATCCCACTTGAAAAACACACAAGATGATACATCTTGTAAATCATAGTCTACATTGGTGATGCTTCACCATCCTCTTGACGCCTAAGCTCGACCAGGAGGTTGCCTAGATTTCCCCGCTCTCCTGAAAAAAATGAAAGAAAACGCCAAGGTATCAGTTATGTATGCTAAAGTAGTAGTCTCTAGAGAGAGAACACCACGCCAAAGTACAAAAGTTAAAGATAGAGTTGTAATTAGCTTTGCTTTAGCATGATCAAGGGGTTTGGGCCATATGAGAGAGAGAGAGAGAGAGGACCCAAGGCTCATGAAGACCAAACTGACGTAACATTGGGATTGGAATCAACTAAAGTACCACCAAGTAGATCATCATGGTTGTGAGATGCTGAAAATAACATTGTTTTACAGGAGGATAACTATATAGTGCAATATATCCTGTTATTGCTTTTCTATTTCATTGATAGGGGGATCAACTTGTTTAAGCATAACATTGGCCCTTATCAAAGAAATTTGAACAGAAAAAGAAGGCATCTATTCTCTTCCTATAGCTAAAGTTATCCCATCTTCCACTAATATATTAAGTGTTTGTTCTTTGATAAAAAGTATTGATTTTGGAAGAATGCTTTTGCAAGATATCATGCTTAGTACTTCAACATATCTTCTAAACAGTTTCTTTTTCTTAACTAAATATACAAAAGCTCATTATAAGAATCAAAGAGAACATGCATGTTTATACTGCGCCTAGTCTTTTTTTCTTTTTTACTAGCTAGGCAAATTAAGGTGGTATTTGAGTGTGTTAAGGGCCGTCTGGTAAGAGATGAAGTGGCTGAACTGAATGACTTATTGCTTTGTCTTTTAGTAAATAAGTTATATATATTAAAGATGTTAATTTTGATCAGTTCCTTAATGACTGAAGCTGATTCGTATCCCTCTAATATTTTCTTATTTAATTATTTTATCAACTAAAAGACAAAATAATAAGTCATTCAGTTCAGCCACTTCAACAGTTATCAAATGACTCCATTATTAGTAAAACACAGATGCATATACAGAAATTTCGTTCTTTTTGTTATGTTTTTTTTTGGGAGGGAGGAGGGGGGGGGGTGGAGAGGGTTGGTGGATGTACAAACGTACCTGTTATGAATGGGATCAGGTCCATTAGGAACCCTTCTTTTGCTCATGTAATTGGGATCTAAATCAGGGTGAACAGCAGGTTTATCTCTTCCTATCATCACCTCAAATTGCTTCGAACTTGCTGTTGATGGAGTTGCTATTTTAGTTGTTGTTGTTATTGTTATGAATCCACGGCTTGCCAGCATCTCAACCAACAAAATGACAAGAAAGCAAACAAACAGAAAAGCTCTGAACAAAAACCTCCAAGACCCACTACCACAACCCATGTTCTCCTGGTTTTCGATGCTTAATTCCTCTCTCTAGGAAGACACCTTGTACTTCAAAGGCAGAGATGAAGTAGAGGACAAACCGACCATCTTGTGCTGTAGGGTGAATGATGATGATGATACTCGCAGAGAAAGAAAGAAAAGGAAGAAGAAAGGGGGCGATAAGAAGAGAGAAGAACGGAGGAAAAGGTAAGGTAGCTAGAGTTGGTGAAGGCAAGAATTTTGGTGTTTATAATTTGGTGCCCATCAAGGGATGGTTGGTTTTCTTTATAGATGGAAGTGATTCTGTTGCACTTTCTCGGACCCAGAGAGAGAGAGAGAGAGAGAGAGCTTAGCTGGGTTCGAACGTGACATGGAGGGAACCCCTTTGCTTTATACCAACCATATTGCTTTGGGTTGTGTATTTTCATGCAACTACGATAAACAAAGGGGCCTCTCTCTCTCTCTCTCTCTCTCTCAACTCTTACGTACTCTATACAAAAATACATTGGCTATTGTGCCCAGTCTCGCAATGGGTCTTTTTTTTGACAGTTATATTCAAGATTCTCTGTAATTTTCAAAAGAGTAGTGGAGAGAAGGGCAATCTATACAGCCTTTAGCTTAAAAATTGGATTAAGGGAATGACACAAGAGAAGAGAGATTAAAAGTAGGAGATAGTGGACTGAATAACTGGAAGCAACATCAACCCAGAAAGCTTCCTGATCAAAATGGAAATCACTGAAAAAGAGGCCTTAAATTAAACAACTTTCTTTTCTTTTTTCGTTTTTTCTTCTCAAGACAAAGAAATCCCTTAACGGATACATATGGTTAATTACTAGTGGTGGAACTGTTAGAATTAGAGATATTGATCAGAGGGAAAAACAGAGGTAGAAATAATGCTTCTCTTCTGCTTCAAGAAGGAAACAAGAAAATATTCAACATCTTGCTTCATCAGAGCAGTCAAAAGGATCGTCAAAAAAGGAAGGAAAAAAAAAGAATAGCTGGTGTTCGGTTTATTTACACTACAGTTACACCCCACATGAACTATCACTTTGTCAATTTCATTAGACTTGTATTCCACCATTTTGCTTCGCAATTGATTTTAAAGCAGAGAGAAATGAACTCAGAACTCAGAAGATTACAAAGTCTTAGATGATCAAAACCAGTTTGAATCAATGATATCTATGATGTGTTTTCTTAATCAATTTAAAACCCAACACAGACATAGTTTAAGAAAGAATTTCCAGGCTTTCTTAAAAAGAAGGAAAAAAGAAAAAGAAAAGAAAAAGGGAACTGCTGCATTACCCATTAGAGTGTCAGTGCCACTGCCACGTGGTCCAGTTTTTTAAGTCCAAAAGCCTTGTGAACGTCGACACAGAACTTGCGCCATTTCCAATTAGATGTGTTTTATCGTTGGAGTACTCTTAACAATTTTCCGTTTCCAGACCAACTTATTAAAGAATAAAACTCTGTTAGAAAAATGGATTATCACGTTCACGTCACGTCATCACTTCGTGGGCATTCAATTAACTTACAGTTTATGAATTGGGAAAAAGCAGACCGGAGGAGGCTGGCCCGCACAGACACAGTGGGGAGAAGTGGTCCAATCTGGTCGGATTCGGAGACTACAGGAATACAGGGCCCTAATATTGGGATTCTAGAAGGTCTGATCATGGTCTTGTTTTGAGCAGTTCGACCAGACTCTTCAAATGGTTTGATCCAATTTTCTGCAGCCGAGGTCTCGGATCGGTTGAACCTGCAGAGGGACATCTGCTCTGATAGTCTGTTCTGGGCGCTTATGTCCCAATTATTATTCTAACAATCTAACTAGTGGGAGGCACATGCAGTCGTACTGCATTTTCTGTACAGTCTCCCTATAAACTGACCATTGCTTTGGGTTTAATTTCTTTAGTGCAATTCATTCAAGTGGGCGTATTTTCTATAGAAGCCAAAACCCAGTTTCAACGGTAATCCTCTGAACAATTGATGGATATATTGTTTACAAAGTCATGACGTTGGTTACAGAGCTTGTTATGTTTAACCTTATCATGGACTGAAATCTGCTATTTCCCATTGGGAATTTTGATCTGAGAGGGGAATATTTCACAAGTTATCAGCTAGCTAGCTAGCACTCAATGAATCTGGCGCATGAAATTCGTTTTGGGAGAATAAAGAAGTTCTTTCCAAATGGTTAAACCAGTTGCTTCTTGGATTCTCGCAAAAGGATGGTTTTATGCTTTTTTTTTTTTTCGAATTTCAATTAACTATGATCACCCTTTTTGGGATGGAAGAACTCATCTTTGAGATGGCTTCACCGAATCGATCCATCAACCGATGAGAAAGCATCCTAAGCAATTAATTGTGTTTGAACGGTCTTATCCCTTTAAAGAGATTTGTTGCATCTCTCGTTGGAGTATTTGACGGCCAAGAAAACCTCATTGTCGCTATCTTCTCAACGACAGCATTAGACACAGTTGCTTTTTTTCAAGCCTAGATAAGAGATTATTCTAGCATTAGATGTCTGAGAAGCCAATGGGTTAGATTTTTTTTTAGTTGTTGGGGAGTAATTATTTTAGTTGATGACATGGCTTTCGTAACCAGACCAGACCAGACCAGACGGTCGGATTAGAAAAATCAGGAACCGGTCCGTTTTACTCCAGAATCGTTATTTTCCCTAAAACTATTGATTTGGTCAGCAAATCGCTGATTCGGACGGTTGAACCATTTGAATCATTCAATGATTTGACCAATTTTTATTTTTTTTGTCAGAACAGGCCATCCATTTGGTTCAAACGATTGGACTGTTCAACCCGGGAACCAGAACCTCGACCGATTCATTGTCCAAATTAGTTTTAAAAACCTTGGTTGGTGATACTTTGAGCTTTCTTTTCCAAATCTTTCCAAATAGCTTCACTAGGCTGCAAGGGTCAAATGGTGAAGAGAGCCCATTATCCAATGCTTGGTCTCAGCTATATGGGGTCGTGGGAGGGAGAATGGATTAGCTGAACTGGATAACTGTTCTACAGAATGTGGGACCAAATGGTCAATCATTTTGGGCATATCTGGGTATATCATATCGTTTCATTAGCACCCCGATAGGTCGATACACCTAAATAAAAGGTATTTTGGGTTTTGGGCAATTTCAGGGCCCTAAGACCGACCCCATATAGACTTCTGAAAGTAAAGTTGGTGTGCCTTAGAAACGTGTTGTGAGGTGCTTTCTGTGAGGAGTAGATCTGAATTCAATTATATAGGATGTGTTAATATTTAAAACCTTGATTCCGGACCAACTATAAAGTGTATATGACCCACAACTACTCATTCTTTTACTTGCATTTATGGTTGTAGTGGAACAAAATGATTGGTCTCACAGCTCGCGAAACAAGTATTAAGTTTAATTTGGAAAGAGTATACATACAAATATGTACAATGCAAAATCATATAAATACAAATATATAGAGTGCAAAATCTTATATTAATTTGTCTGTATTCACATTATACATATTCGTATTTGTACTATTTTGAAACTAAGCCTATTGTATTTGTATTTTGTATTGTACATGTTTGTATTTACATTATTTCCAAACTGAGCCTTAAATTCGAGCCCGCTTTTTCTCACAAATTAATCACTCTCAAACTCGAACCCACTTTCTCATGCTTGCCAGTCCAACATTTTACCATTGCACCAAGCAAAGCAATGGCCTTAACAGTCTGAGTGATTTCAAAGGAGGATGGGACCCTACCGAATACCAGCACTGCACAGTGTGCACTGGAGCCCGCTCTGTTAGAATAGTACAAGTTAAATTCAGGCACGAAGGATTAATGGGGTTAAAGACTAAAGACTGTTTTATATTGTAAAGGCCTGGAAGGAATGTTGATTCCAATATATGCCCCAGAAGATCCAGAAGCCAATAGATTTAGGGAGAAAAGCATGTACTTTTTATTAAGTAAACCACGCTCACTGGGCAATGTTTACAAAAGGAGCATCGACCATCGTTATGGGGTCCATCTCTAGTCCTTTTTTCTCGTACAAAATCATAAAATTCGCTTTACTTTATTTTGTAAGAGTTCAGGAGAGCCCACTGGGCTTTTACTACAGGCCCACCAAGTTTTGAGTTAAGAGGGAAGAGAGGGGGAGAGAGAGATGGTGGTTTGATGTGCGCTTAACATCCTTTTGATCATCATTATTAGTCTTTTTGTTGATAAAAGTTAGGGTTCCGGTCTTCAGTGGGAGTAGTCGTGCACATGCTTGAATGGATAACATCACATATACTAGTATATCTAAAGCCTGTAGAAATGGGGTTATGGCTTATTAATATATTCTTTATGATAAAGGTTTTGAGGGCTCCATTGTCAGAACAGTCTTACACTAATGGTTCTTTCTATTGTTGCTGCAACAGTGGGTTGTTTTTAAAATGGAACAAACCGCTTATTAATTTTATTAAAATTAGTGTAAGGGTACCTACATACTACAAGAAAGGATTAAGATATAAGTTGAAGTTATATAATTAAATTTAAGTTTTATGATTTGCATCAAAACCAATGCAAGTATTAACTGTATAATAGTATAGATAAAGGTCTATGCTGCTTTAGGAAGGAAGGGAGGTAGCTGCAAAACCAAAACAAATGGCTTATGGAATTAAACTTCATTCATGCAAAACCCGTCCTCTCAAAGCAACAACTTTCATCTTAAATGCTCTTCATATTGATTTATTGGCAATCTAGGGCTTGCCATGGTAATCCCAGTAAAAGTAAAGGAGGTGGTGTTGTTGAAGAGGACCTCAGCTCCAGGGTGTTTTGTTTTGGTTTTCATAACCACTATGGTGATGGTACTTCCATTCTTGTTGAATTTTTGGTTCTTTGTGATGGCTTTAATTTATGTCTCTCTACAGAAATAGGGGAGGTGGAGGTGAAAACAATAATAAATGTTTAATTGAAATTCTTCTTAGAAAAATTATTTTTCCTTGGAAGATGGTTTATACTTTGTGTGAAATAAAAAGAATATCTCAATTAGGAGTGATCAAATGGATAGGTTTTACCTAGAATCAAATGAAACCAACTTAGACCCAGTTCTAGGGTCGTTTACCTTACCCGACTTGGAGAATTGGCCTTGGCGGAATTGACCTTTAATGAACTTGGTGGAACTGGCCTTGGTACCAAATTTGCCTTGAAATAAATTCTAAAATATATTGAAGATGTGAACCCAAAACACTCATGGTTACAAAGACCATAATCTCACTTGATTATTGAATCACTTAAATGATTTGATGATTTTTCTTCATTTTAATATTCAAATATGTATAATAAATAGTATAAAAGGTAATATTTACAAAATTTAAATTATAATGATAAGTTTTGAACTCTATACTAATATATTATGATAACCTACACATTAAATTATTCTGTTTAGCTAATAAAGATATTATTAGTTTAGAACTTTTATTATTATTATTAGAGTAAATTACAAAGACCCACTTTGTACTATAGGGTCAATGACAAAATCCCCCCTGTACTTTTTTGTGACAAAGACCCCTGAACTTTAGCCGCTAGACAAAGACTCCAAGGTAGATGATGAAAAACGTTAAATTACCAAAATACCCCATTAAATTTTTTCTATTTTCTTTTTCTTGCCCTTTTTCTCTTAAAACCCATTTTGACCGCTTCCTCGGCCTTCACCTTCGCGGCATGCAGAACCACGTCGCACCGAGCCATCAGCGAATGAATCTTTTTTCTCAACAACGCCATGAAGTAGTCGGGAAGGGAAAGCCCGATGTCGAGATCGCTCATGTAGAGGATCTCCTTGTCCTTCCTCATCAAGACGTAGTCGTGGCTAAGCGCGAGCATGAACCCAACAGCAGCGGCGTGCCCCAATACCGCTGCTATAGTGGGCATAGGGAGGGAGGGCAGGTCAACCATGATGGCCTTTAAGCCGTCGCCCATGTGTTGAAGCCGGTGGAGGAAGCTGCAGGACCCGACGGACTCGGCCCAAGCGAGATCAAAGCCATTGGAGAAGAACTTACCCTGTTCAGTGGTGACCAGGACTGAACCGCGCTTGGCCTGGGTTTGCTTGTACCTCCACAAAGTCTGCCAGCTTGGATAAGGGCATGAGGCGATCCAAGCTTTGTAGGAAACCCTATCGGAAAATACTTCTACCAGCTGGGTTACCATTTCTGGTTTCACCCTTACCAACTTTACATTTGCGGCATGGAGGTTGGAGACATCCAATAGTTCCATTTCTCCTCCACAGAATTTTGTGATCTTAGAGAAAACTTCTTCCAACCAGGCATGGAAGGGTAAATCCAAGATTCTCAGGTTAGTACTTACTGTTGGTTCCAGCCTTCCAGGACCTTTCATTACTTGAATAGGTCCATCTATGTTAACAGTCCCACCCATTAGGACTTGCTTCAACCATCAGGACACTCAGACCCAGTCATGGCCCACCACCAATCCATCCATATCAGGGCCTCTCCGTTCACTTCAAGAGAACACCAGATGGGTCGCATAGGTCTTTGCCAAAATGGAACCGCCGAAGACTGTTATGTTCTTTGGGAGTGAAATGAGAGGCCTAGAATGGCACAGGTCTTGTCACTACTGGCTGGCGATGGTCGGGTTTGGGAGGGTGTGAGAGTACTTGAGGTTGAATGGAGAAGACAGTGAACAGTAAAAAAGGGTAGTTTGGACATTTAAAAAACTTTAAACAGTCGAATGAAATTTTTTTCGAACTAATAGAATATTAACGGAAGAGGACTTTATCACTGACCCCATAGTACATGAGGGGTCTTTGTAATTTATCCCTAATATTATTATTTCCAGGTTCTTCTTTGAAATCAAACCGAACTGAACCAATCAATGAATATCTATTTTTCTCATGTATTCAAAAAAGAGACTTCTTATGATTTGAGGAATTTTGTTTCTACAAAGTATTTTGAATATGAGCTTATGAATTTCCTCAAAAAAATCTACCAGAGGCTTTTTGTGTTACATATAGATTAATTTGCTTTGTTGTTTGGATGTATCTTATGCTTGGTGAGACCCTGAGCTTTGTATTTTGGCTTTAAAGTGACTACTTCACTTACTAGACTTAAAGAGTCTCAAAAAAACCAACTCCAGAATGCGAGAGAGATTGAAATGAAAGGCACCAGTACAATCCATTAGTTATAGGGAACCGTGATATCTCTTATACCATGGAATCCAGGTATATATGATTTTCACTTTCCTTTAAAAAATGTGCCCTGAAAGGCATAAAAAACACGTGTCTACAATGCTTGAATCTCAAGTGGAGCAATGTCTCGTATATTGTACACTAGATTACATACTACTTGCTTGGGTCCGTATTATTCCATAAATATTCAATGTAATTCACTCCCCGTGCCAGCCCAAATTCCATATTTTCCTCCCAGCTACCACCATGACGGATTTACAAAACATCTACTCGGTATGTAAATATATTGACGAAGGAAGATTTGGCCCGACCTTGTAAATCACGTCACGTGGTAAAAAAGCAAGTAGCTCGGCACTTAAAACAGCATACCGAGGGTATAAAACATCAAAGGGAAGAGACCAGCGGTCCGAACTCCTATCGAGGAGACCAATTCCTTGCGAGGAGCCCGAACTCCCTACAAGGGGCCCGAACTCCCTACTTATAGCTCGAACTCCCAACGAAGAGCCCGAACTCTCCCTTTGGCCCCGAGTCACACAAAGCAGAGACTCGAACTGGCCCGTCTTATGAAAGTTCGGGACACCCCCCTTATCCGAACTCAAGACTTCGCCTCGCGCACCGCTCCAGGCACTTCGCCTCCAGAGCATTGAACTGAACGAACCACACCGTACCTGACACCGAAGGAGTCCGTATCCAGGGGCGGCGCACCTGACTGACTTGGGATCTGACGCTTGGCGGCTGCACTTCAAACGGCCACCTGCCACCGTCACCTGCCACCACCATCTCCAGTTACAGAGACGGCTCCGACAAAAAGAGCAGTGACGGTTCTGCCCCAGCAGAGGCAATGACGCCCAAACTGGCA